TTAAGGTATTCATAAAATTTCTTACTTTTTTTTTTTTTTTTTTTTTTTTTTTTTTTTTTGAGATGAAGTCTTGCTCTGTTATCCAGGCTGGAGTGCAGTGGTGTGATCTTGGCTCACTGCAACCTCCACCTCCCGGGTTCAAGCTATTCTGCCTCAGCCTCCCGAGTAGATGGGATTACAGACATGCCCAGGTAATTTTTGTGGTTTTAGTAGAGGAAGGGTTTCACCACATTGGCCAGGCTGGTTTCAACCTTCTGGCCTTCTGACCTCAAGTGATCCACTCTCTTCAGCCTCCCAAAGTGCTGGGGTTACAGGCATGAGCCACTACACCCAGCCCTAAAACTTCTTACATTTTGAGTGTGCTTCTGCTTGATCACTTCTGACTCAGAACCACTTATGTTTGTTTCCTGTAAAACTCTCCTGTTCCAGCAAGAAGACTGGTGATACATTTCTTAACAAGTTATCTACCCTTGTCTCCAGACATCATTCCAAGCGGCTGACCTCCATTCAGCAACTTTTGATTCTGTTACCTTTTTTAATTTACAGGATGTGCCATTAGAAGGTTTATCACCAACAACCAGAATCATATTCCTTCAATGAATGGTTTTTCCTGATCATTTACTGAATGAAACATCAGATGGGGAACATTTGTCCAATAACAGCATCAGAAAACCAACCGTATTTGCACATGCATAGGCAATGACCACTATGTCATGACTGCCACTTGGCTGACAATACTGTAAGATGCCATTCATTGTAGTAACATGCAACTAGGTTTCAGAGACGTTAAAATGCAAAAAAAAACAAAAAAAAAGTATTCTTCAAGTAATGAATTAATGGTATACACAGCCAACCAAGAAGTTAAGAAAAACATCGGTAATGGTTTGAAGATGAATATTTCACTGGCATAAAAGATATGAAGCAACAAGAAGATATGGCATATATGAACCATTAGGTACCAAAAAAACTTAGAATTAAAGTAGTCTAAGCAAATGGTATAAAATAATAACATAATTTGATTAAAAATACAGTCATAGTTAGGTAATTTAATACTTCCTATGAGCAACTGATAGATCAAGAGAAAAAAATATAAGAATTAAAAATACAAAGAGCAAATAGTTAACAAAATTCAATTTCTAAATATATAAATACATATATGTTATATGGTATGTACCTATTAATGTTAACATATTAAAATATATATGTATAATTCTATGTAATATTACATGTTCATATTGTATAATATATTACATATAAATAAAATTTTATATATATATATAAATTTATACCTGAAAATCAGTGTTAATTTTTCTTAGGTTTGCATGGAAAATTTATTTTTAATACACAAAGCCACAAAGGAAATATCAAAAAATGCTCAAGGTTGATATCATACAGGCCATTCCATCTAACCATAGGCAATAATAAACATAGACTATTCTAAAAGAGCCCCTAAATAATCCAATCACTTGAGAATTTAAAAATAATATATACGATTCATATTTTAAAGGAAAATAATAACCAAAACAGATAGAAGTTGAAATAAAGACAATGAAAACACTGTATCAACATTGTAGGATGTGTCCTGATATCTCTTTGAGATCCTGATTTTAATTCTTTGGGATGCATAATGACAAGTGAGATTTGTGGGTCATATGGTGGCTTCACTTTAAATATTTTGAGGAATCTTCACACTGTTTTATAGTGGCTGCACTATTTCAAATTTCTACCCAAAGCATACAAGGGTTTTAATTTCTCCACATCCTCGCCAACACATTGTTTTTTTTGGTAATAGCCATTCTAACAGGTGTCAGGTAATATCTCACTGTGCTTTCAATTTGCGTTTCCCTGATTATTAGTAAATGCTAAGCATCTTTTCATACACCTGTTAGCCATTTGTATGTCTGAAGAAATGTTCATTAAGTCCTTTGCCCACTTTTAATCAGATGCTTGTTTGTTTGTTTGTTTCCCATTGAGTTGTGTGACTTTCTTACATATTGTGAATACTAACTTCTTATCAGAAGTGAGAATACATGGTTTGCAAGTATTTTCTCTCATGTCATAGGTTGCCTTTTCACTCTGTTGATTTTTTTCTTTGGTCGTGCATAAGCTCTTCAGTTTGATAGTCTCACTTGTCTACTTTTGCTTTTGTTCCTTGTGATTTTGGTGTCATATCCAAGAAATCTTGCCTAGATTAATGTTATGAAACTTTCCCCCTATGTGTTCTAGATTTTGGGCAGCTTCTGGCCTTACATTAAAATCTTTAATTTATTCTGCACTCTCATGTTTATTGCAGCATTATGTACAATAGCCAGGTTATAAAAACAACCTAAATGCCCATTTATGGATAAATGGACAAAGAAATTGTGGCATATGCAAGCAATGAAATATTATCCTGCCTTTAAAAAGAAGAAAATCCAACCATTTGGGACAACACGGGAGAACCTGGAGTATATCATGCCAAGTGAAATGAGCCAGTCACAAAAGGGTAAATACTGCATGATTCCACTTACAGAGAAAATATCTGAAATAGTCAAATTCACAGAAACAAAGAGTAGAACAGTGGTTTCCAGGGACTGAGGGAAGGAGGAATGAAGAGATGCTCTTCAATGCATACAATCTTCATTTAAGCAAGAGAAATAAGTTCTAGAGATCTACTGTACAAGAGTATGCATATAGTATACTGTATTAACAATATGGTACATTTAAAATTTTATTAAACAGGTATATCTCATATTAAGCCATAATACAAATAATTATAGGATGTATCCAAGGGATACTAAGAAAAAATGCAACATTTTATTTATTAATAAAAAAATAGGCCAGGCACAGCAGCTCACGCCTGTAATCCCAGCACTTTGGGAAGCTGAGGCAGGTGGATCACTTGAGGTCAGGAGTTTGAGACCAACCTGGCCAGCATGGTAAAACCCTGTCTCTACTAAAAATACAAAATTAGCTGGGCTTGGTGGCACAGGCCTGTAATCCCTGCTACTTGGGAGGCTGAGTCAGGAGAATTGCTTGAACCTGGGAGTTGCAGTGAGCCAAGATCATGCCATTGCACTACAGCCTGGGCAACAAGAGTGAAACTCTGAGAAAGAAAGGAAAGAAAGAAAGAAGAAAGAAAAAGAAAGAAAGAAAGAAAGAGAGAGAGAGAGAAAGAGAGAAAGAGAGGGAGGAAGGGAGGGAGGGAGGGAGGGAGGGAAGGAAGGAAGGAAGGAAGGGAGAAATAAAGAAAGAAAGAGGAAAGAAAGAAAAAGGAAAAGAAAAGAAGGAAGGAGAAAGAGAAAGGAAGGAAGAAAGAAAGAAAGGAAGAAAGGAGGGAGGGAGAGAGGGAGGAAAGGAAGGAAGGAAGGGATTAACGAAGAAAGGAAGGAAGAGAAAAAACAAGTAGGCACACATTTCTAAAGAGTTTGAATTGCTTCTTCCAGAAAACATCCAGGCAATGTTAAAGATGGCCAGATTCCTCCCCAGCCCTGAGTTTAGGAAATCAGATACCCTAGTTGGTCTAAGAGCTGGTCCATTTCTCCCAGCTTAGGTCCGTTAACCCAATGTAATTATTAATAGGCCCCTTTCACTCTCCTAAGTGTCCTGGATATCCCACAGGTCTAGAGAAATTACAGACACAGGAAAAGGCAGAGGAGAAACAGTTGTACTTTTTTGTAGGAACCATGAGAAATGAAAAACCTGGGCTGCGCTAGGCTGTCACCAGGAAAAAATGAAATCTCTGACAGCAATGTAGTGACTCAAATGCTGAAAGGAAGAAAGCACCAGGATGGGATGAGGAGGTTGGGGCAATGCCTGCAGGGCCCTGGAAGTCATCCACGTGCTCAGGTAAACAGTATTTCCACATCTTCCTCCAAAGCTGAGGGCCAAGTAAAAATATAATGGAAAGTAAGCGTAACAACAGAACTACACAGATTAACCATTTTGGAATCATAATATGGCAAGAAATAAAGTTTCAACTAATATTCTGTAAGAAGAAAACTTACTTCAAAATAAGAGAGGATTAAAAACAATATTCTCTAGATGAGTGGGAGCCATGACAGTTTAGGTGTGTGAGTTCACACGAAAAACTCACAGGAGACTCTCAGAAATCCTTGCCAGAGGGGACAGGGAGTTTTTCAGCTAGCTGTGAACCTGCATTGTGCACTGAAATATGGAGTGAAATTTCTACTGGTGAAGCACTATTTGTCCCACGCACCCCATTAGTGAGGCATTGAGAAACCCAAGTTTAGGAAGATACCACCCTCCCCAACAAACTTCCAGGTTCCTCTTAGAAACGAGAGCCTTTATGTGAGCCTGCTTCACAAACTATAAAACTCCTTATAAGTGTAAGGAATCAATACTATTACCACGGTATTCCATTAAAGCCATTTGATTCATAAAAGAGTGACTGAGATGACAAAATTTTTATTTCACAAGTTTAATGTTTTCTGAGATCCAGTGATAACACTTTAGGTGAAAGCTTCATAAACAACAGCAGCTCTTCACCCAAACCAGCACCAGCGTATATCACTTCACTGAGACATGAGCCAAGCCCAGGAGCGGTGCAGCCTTGTTTATGGGACTCCACTTTCTGATGGAACATCCATATCTGCTTCTCCTTGTCAGAATCCAATAGGTCTTGATACACTATCACAGAGGAATGTATCTGAAAATCCAGAGACCTGGACTTAAAATTCAAGAGTCACCCTCTCATTTTTACTTGGTGTATTATTACCAAGTATGTTAAGTAGAGCTTTCTTTATTATTCTTGTAATGGTGCCATAGTTCAGCCACATGCTCATGGCAAGACACTCAATTTCCCTGGACTATTTTCCACACGGACCCAGGGAGAGGGCATGTCGCCCAGTCCAGCACTTAGGTCACTGCATGAATATATTGGGAGGCAGCAGGATACCCTTATGTGGAAAGTCCAATAGCAGATCCTCCCTACCCATTTCAGGCTAAGATTATACTAAGATTTCCTCTGCATGAAGACCAACCTCAAACCCAAACTAACCTTAAGACAGCATGGTTAACCCAAAGTCAGTGGTGTCGGCTTTCCCCAGTTCTTGGGTAAGGATGACAGAACAGCCTCCTTCGGAGCTGACAGCAATGAACCAGCCAGGGAAGGCCACAGACTCAAAGGTGGAGCTTCTGCCACTCTGACTGTGGTAGAAGAGAAACAGCTTCACAGGCTTGGGTTCATCATACAAATCCATTATATCCTGTTCCTGAAGGGTGTGAAGGAGACACCAGCAAGAAACATAACTGTTTGAATGTTTCATATTCTCTACGCACTGATATGCCATGTCCAAGACAGCATTCCCTACTCATTGAAGCAGCTTGGAGACCTCTGTTTCACATTACAGGATTGGGGGGCTAGGGGAGGGACAGCAAAGGGTGGGGAGGTTTGGGAGAGATAACATGGGGAGAAATGCCAGATATAGGTGATGGGGGGATGAAGGCAGCAAGCCACATTGCCCTGTATGTACCTATGCAACAATCCTGCATGATCTGCACATGTACCCCAGAACCTAAAGTAAAGTAAAAAAAAAAACCACACACAACTTAAATACTTTTCTAATCTAACAAAGCATTGATTGAGCCATTATTTGTTGTTCAGAAATAGAAATTTAAAGAATATTTATGTAACAGTTACTGTGAATTCCAAATTAAAACATAGTTATTTTCTGTCAGGTTTCTGCACCCTCAGCACTATTGACATTTTAGGCAAAATAATTCTTTGTTGTCAGGATCTGTCCTGTACAATATAGGATGTTTAGCAGCATCCTGGTCATCTACCCACTAAATGCAAGTAACACACCCTCATCCCAGGTTGTCACAACCAAAACATCTCCAGATATTGGCAAATGTCCATGGAGCAAAATCACCCCTGGTTGAAAGCCACTGTTTTATATCCTGTCATCAAATTGAGTGGCTGCCTATGCTTGTTTACTGAAAATGATCAAGAGTGTTCCTGCAGTGCACAGAGGCCTGCTTTAATTATCTTTTCTTTAATAATGGAAAATTGCAATTATTAAAGTGTTACAGAGAATTATGTTTGTTCATTTTAAATTGCAATGTACTTTTTGCTGAAAAGATGTTTTAATAAGTTCATCTACTTTGGGATAATTAACTGCTAAAATGTCCTTGCTGATTTTACCGTGTGCGTGTGTGTGTGTGTGTGTGTGTGTGTGTGTGTGTGTGTGTGTGTTCTATTGAAGTTAGACATCATCCTTGCCAAATTATTAATATTTTTGTAAGTTAAAATAAGTCATTTTAGTAGGGTTGTTTCAAAACATCCCTGAAACTTTTTCTTATTCTTTCATAACACATTCAACCCCAAAGAAACCAAAAATAAATATGTATAGCATAATAAGTATATTGTCTTTTAAAAGATCCTAAAATCTGAGTTTCTATCAAATAAATGAGCTCCTCTCCTGGTCAAGCACTGGCAGGACCTGTCTTACACACTCATCTTCAGCTGCAGTGCAGGCTGCTCTCTGACCTTAGCACACATCAGGCAGAGCTTGAGCTCATTCAGTCTCAGGTAGACGGGGTTCCCTCTGTCTTTCACAAGGGTCTCCACATGTTGGCATGAGATTAAGGCAATAGTGACTGGGAACACGGTGTGAAAAGTGGTATTCAGGTGCCATTTCGAGGGTGGTATCTCTGAGTCAGAGTTTTAAGGGCAGCAGAGGCTGGAATCTGCTGACACTCACAGTACACTCACAGAGTGGTCACCCTGCCACTCACCACCTAACCCAAACACCCATCCTATCTTTGAGGAACACTTTCCATTACAAAAGTCAGTCTTTCATGGATTCAAAAACTGGTCCTCCCATAATTTACACTCTTTTGTCTTAGTCTTGCTCCTTGAAGCTTCTCAGAATTTGTTTTCCACTGTTTTTCACAGGCTGACCCTTCGGTCTCCCTTAAGCCTTCTCTCTCTTCTCTGACTTCATGACCATAGTCCCAGAACAACCTTTTGCTCACCCTCTATTCATTATTGTCCTTGAGATGCTCCTTTCTCTAGATATGCCCAGTTAATAAGCCCACTGTGGAATAAAGGCTGAGCACCAAACACCCAACTGCACTGGTCAAAGGGGCTGCCTTTAACAGATCCTGGCTACTCACCTGGAGTCATATGGTGCTTCCTTGGGACTTCTATGAGGATCTGATCCTGAAGAATCCATACCTGATAACTGATATCCTGAATGCTCCTCAACTGAGGTCTGACACTTTTTAACACTGTTGAGAAAGTCAAAATGTAAATTAGTAAGAATGAGAGCACAGAATATTGTCCCCTTGTCAACTTTTTGCCCTTCTATGAGGATATTTACCTTTTTCCATTGTGGTGGTGTTGTTTCAGAACTGCCAAGGATAGGAATCCTTTTATATGACTAAAGGAAAATGGGTGTTCTTTTAATATTTTTTAAGACTAGGAAAGGCTAAATTTTGTTTTTTTAGTAGAGACAGTTTTCGCCTTATTGACCAGGATGGTCTTGAACTCCTGACCTCAAAGTCAGGAGGCCTACCTCGGCCTCCCAAGTTTTTGGGATTACAGGCATGAGCCACAACACCTCAACTTTAATTTTTTAGTCATAATTGTGTGGGCTGAACCAACTGAGATGTCTATGATCTTTAGTTAATAATGTAAAAAAAGACATTGACATATTAAATTCGTGGACTCTCAATTCTTTAGGGATTGATTAAATGACTAGTATTATTGTTTGCAAAAATGTGTTAAAGTTTATGGAGCTTGTGTTGAGAAATAAAGTTTATATTTTTTATTTTTATCTACTAATTCAATTTCCACAAACTTCTAAAAGTTTCCTTGTATATCTGCTTATCTATATACACAGTCATCCCTCAGGGAATTGGTTCCAGGACATCCCCAAAACCAAAATTTGCAGATATACAAGTTTGTCAGTTGACTCTGCAGAACCCACTTGTACAAAAAGTCAGCCCTCATTATCCACAGGTTCAGCATCCCTCAATGCTGGTTGGTTGAACCTGCAGATACAAAGCGCCGAGAGAGAGAGAGAAAAAAAAAGAGAGAGAGAGAGAGAAAACAGAGAGAGAGAAAGTGGGAGAGAGAGTACACATAAACACACATCCTACTGATTCTGACAAATCCTAACTAATAAGAGGGGATGGAAGCCTGGCTGCCAGATGCCCCAGTGCTCTGAACTTACAGTACCTGACATTAGGTCTTCAACAAAAGGAAGCTAAAGTAATACTGTTGACGCTCTGCTCCATACCTTCAACAACCCGAGTTCACAACTGCTGTGGGAAATCCTAGCACCTGTCAGCTTCACACCCCGAGGGCTTCCATCTCGGGGGCAACTTCAGGAAGTGAGGAAAGAAACTGGTAGACAAATGTTCAGCCTCCCCATCTTCTGATAGGATAACACTAAGGTTTCTCAGAATTGCCCCATAATAGTAACAAGACCACTAGCATTTCCTCTATTGGACTTCCTGGAATAATTTCCTAAATGAGATCCCTGCATCCAGGGTCTCTCTTGGGGAGAACCCAAACTAACATAGTGTTCAGTGTTCAAAAGTAAGATACTTGTATTCAAAAGATGTGCATTCAAAATTAGGTTTTGCAACTTTTAGAATTGTATCCTTGGAGAAATTCTGTCACATCCCAGATCCTCAGATGACTCACGTGAAATGCATTGCACCTTGCTGGGCTGTTATTCAGGTTAAAGAAGAGCATCAAAGCTCCCTATAAGTGACAACTTCCTGGAGCAACTGACCTAATGAGTCCCCTATGTCTGTCACCAGTGCCCAGATTGACTTGTTTAGCTCAGTCAGCATTTTTGCTGTGACTAGCAATAGATCATCTCAGATCGTGACTTTTGTGCCACTTCATCAATGGCCTACCTGGCCAAAAGGAGAATTACCTCCTGTTTATGCCCTATCTCCTTCCCAGATATTCTTACTGCATGGTATGATAAATAAAAGGCCATTGAAATCTTGTCCCAGGTAGCCCCACAGTCATCCCCTGAGGAGTGTGAAATCATGAATAGCCAAAACTTAAATGTGTAGCAGGCATCACTGAGTCAAAATTAGAATTTGGAATCAAGCTGAGTTTATATAGAGGAGCTTCCTCAGGTCTCCATTTCCATAAGATGATTTCTATACTCAAAGAAGAAAATTCAGAGCCTATGACATCAGCCCCACTCTCTTTACATATAACTGAATCACATAAATACCTTGGGGGAAGAGGCCCAAGGACTATCCATAGGCATGAAGATGCAAACAGCCAAAACATATTGGTTTGGATGCCACACATACTAATGCAAACTCAGCTGTGACGACAGCTAAGATGTAGGTCCTTTAAAATGCTTATTTCATGTCATAGATAACATGGAGCTCTATATGGTCTGGATACTTAGACCACAGTGCCATCAATGAAAGTGGTGAGGGCTGTGGTGATACCAGATTGTGTTGTTATTCACTCAGAGTGGCTGGCAAAACATTAAGGAGCATATTAGGGAAAGTTATAGATTATAGTCTCAAAACTTTTGGAAGGCTGAAAGGCTTTATTGGGGCAAGCTGAAGGTGGCTGGCCAGTTCATTAAGTTAGGGAAAAGACAGGGACAATCAAAGGCCTTCCCAATTTAAGCCTGTTTACCCCACATCCCTTTGTCTCCATTCTAACTGTTTACTCATGTAAACTTTGTGCTAGGTGGTCCTCTCAGGGGGAGATCAAAGGGGAATTACCTGTTAATAGGGTTTACTCTGGGCCTGAATCATAAAGCTTTTATTATTTGTATAACCACTCTTTTAATCATGTTAATTAGCCATAAGTGTGGTGATTTAGAACCTCTGTTATGAATAAATGTGTGGATAAACAGGCAGTTTTGGTCGATTGGTTGCATTTTACCCTCTGAAAGTAACCAAGGGCCATCCCTAGCCCACTTGTATCACTGTAATGGTATGAAGCGCGTTCATCCAGCCTTCCTTGAGTCAAGGTCTGCAGGCCAGGCCTCTGCAGGTGTTGGTTGACATCTCAAGATTTTCCAAGACCTGTGCTTATTTCTCTCTGTCATGGAGGTAACATCCGCTATAGCCAAAATGGTGAATGCTCCTGAGAAATGAGTCTGAAACAAATATGATGAAGGAAACTTCTCACTCTGCAAGAAAAGAAATCCATAAGAGTAAAGCCTAGAGTTGCAGCCTTCCCTCTCTCTTCAGCTATCCAGAACTAGACCTGTCTTGGGATTTCATTCCTTTGTCCATCCCTATCTATCCTTCATTACTCAGTTCAAGGTTTGATATAGTCACCTCTACCCTACAAATTTTTCTCAAATCTTATAGCAAAATTTATACCATTTATTTTGGCTGCTATTATTCACATATTGCCAAATCATTAGATAAAATTGTCCATGTTGTATACATTCTTGATACTCAAGATGTAGTTTATGGATGGTGCATTGGCATTATCTAGAAGCTTTTCAGAAATGCAGAATCTCAGGCCCTACTCCAGACCTACAGAATCAGGATCTAAAATAAAGGAACATTAAAACCACTGCATGTTTTCTGATGATATAGTACTGTAGTGACTACAGTGACTAGGGCAAAGCTTGACAATATAGCTGGTGTGACTACAGTACAGTACCTTATGCTCAGTACTGTAGTCACCCCAGCACAAAAAGAACAAAGTCAGGGCACAGGGTTGAGGCTGGGAGGGTAACAAGCTCATGAAATCTAGACTGCCTTTCTCCAATCTCTAAGAACCATGGAGATGGCTATCTTGGCACTAAACAAAGGAGAAGCAGGAAAGATAAAAAGAAAAGAGTCCATTCCTGGAGGTCTATGGCCAGGGACAGACTCTCACAAAGATTTTCACCCTGAATACTCATAGCTCCATTGAACTAAAAACACTCAAACTGTATTCAGTTTAATGTAGGCTAAACTCATTTCACAAAAAGCAAAAAGAAAGTCTTTCTAGAGGGGAGAAGAATCACCAAAATTCATTTTCAAAGGCACAAGCCATACATAGTTGAAGATTACCAGGCATATGAGTAAGCAAGATCACAAGAACAAGAACACCAAGAAAAAAGAAACAAAGGAAACAAACAAGACAGCAGAAAAATACCTACACGAACTTCAGATTTTGTAATTTTTTTACACACAGCTCAAATCATCCATCCTAATCATGTTTAAGAAACAAATGTCAAACATAAAAATATTTTTCTAGAACAGAAAACTATGGAAGGTGACAGGTTTGAAGGAGTCAAATAGAGCCTCTATAACTATATAATAACTAAATTAAATTAAATAAGCCAATAGCTGTATTTAGCAGTAGGCATCACACACACAGAAAAGAGAATTAGCGAATTTGAAGACAAACGAGAAGAAATCCAGATTGCAGCACAGGCACAGGAAAGCAGGAAAATACAAAAGAAGGTAGAAAAAATGTGAAGATGAAAGTGAGAGGGTCTAAGATATTGATTGGATTCCTAAGAGGAAAACTAAAAGTCAGACAGAGTAATTATTTGAAGAGAGAATGACTGGGAATATTCTCAAACTGATAAAGATACCAATTCACAGATTTAAAAAACACAATAAAATTCAAATAACATAATTTTGTTGTTGTTGTTGTTGTTGTTATTGTTTTGAGATGGTGTTTTGCTCTTGTTGCAGGTTGGAGTTCAATGTCATAATCTCAGCTCACCGCAACCTCCATCTCCTGGGCTCAAGTGATTCTCCTGCCTCAGCTTCCTGGGTAGCTGGGATTATAGTCATGCACCACCATGCCCAGCTAATTTTGTATTTTTAGTAGAGACAGGGTTTCTCCATGAGTCTCGAACTCCCAACCTTAAGTGATCTATCTGCCTCGGCCTCCCAAAATGCTGGGGTTACATGCATGAGCCACCATGCCCACCTAAGTTTTTTAAAGATTCACTTCTAAACAAATCAGAATGAAATTTCATAAAACCAAAGGCAAAAGTAGCAGATAACAAAAACTCATTACCTTAAAGGATGCAAGAGACTGACAACTGACTTCTCAGTTACAGCAATGAAAGTCAAAAGACAGTAGAATGATATCTCAAAATGCAGAAAGGAAAATCTTCCAATCAAATTTCATACTCTGAAAAATTTCTTAAGTTTTCCAGATTAAGGGCAAATTAAGAATGTTCTGAGATAAAAATTTTTGGTGGCAGGTTAAGTATATCAGGCCCCTTCCCTCTTGGAAGGAAAGCAGTTTGCCCTCACAGGGATAAATACATAGCCTGGGTGTGGGTTTGCTCTTTTACATTCGGCCTCAGCTGTAACCACTATCCAGGGGCCTATGGAATCCCATATGATGCAGCATCCAACCAGGGACTCCAAAT